TCCTCGTGTGTTTGCACACACCTGGCGAATAAAGCTAATTCTGATTCTGATTCTGATTCTGATAAAAGACGAGGCTAAAATGTATTACAAAAATAAAAACTTTACCAAAATCTCTTTTTATTTTTGTCTAAAAAAGGAGACAAAATATTATTGAGGACTGCTGTACACGCCTCTACTACGAGCTTTCATGTGTGCGGTTGCCAGATTTCAAATCCCTGAATCAGAGCTTCTCTGTTACAAGAGAACAGATACTATTTAAACTGAACTGAGCTGGATGATGACATCACTGAATTCAAATTATGAACTGCCTTTAACTGTAAATGAGTGTTTACTATTGTCATTTTGCATTATTGACAGACTATTTTTCTAATTAATGCTGTTCAGTTGCTTTGACACAATCTGTATTGTTAAAAGCGCTATATAAATAAAGGTGACTTGACTTGACAAAGACGCAACCGTGAATACTGTTTTAGAGAAAAAAAGCTCTTTTAGCATGCTGAATAGCACAGGGGAGATGGCTGTCTGCAACACAAACAGGGGGTAGTGCAGCCTGTTGTGTGCAACCCACTCGACACGGGAACTCACCACCGCTGAAGCGCTGTTCCGCCAACATCAAGAGCTCCAAAGAGCGCGCTGAACTTGTTCAGTCTTCTTTTCTCAGTAGAGTAGTCAGGAGCAAAACGATGTGATTGCTCGGCTCCGAAGCGAAAAGCTGGTATGCGTTGCACTGGCTGCCTTTTTATGCTCAAACTGTGATCAGCGGCAGCTGGATGCAATCATCGCATGCCAATGTGAATTGGCTCATTTAGTTTACACTCGAAGTGGATTGGTCTCTCTAAGCGAGATCCCAATTCGTCGGTCACCGACATGACGTTGAGAGTGACTGACTGAAAGGGAACTAAAGATCAGAGTTCATAGAAGAGGCCAACAGAACCTTCAAGATTTGAAGACTGTTTGTGTGGAAGAATGGGCCAAAATCACACCTGAGCATTGCATGCCACTAGTTTCTCCATACAGGAGGCGTCTTGAAGCTGTCATTACCAACAAAGGCTTTTGTATGAAGTATTAAATAAATTTCAGTAGTTCAATACTTTTGCCCTGTGTCATTCTATTTTATTACAAATAAAGCAAGATAAATAAGTTCAGAAATTAAGTTATGTGTATGTATGGATTACTTGGGTTGTTATCAACATCTGGTGAAAATTTCATGTCAACAGCATCTTTAGAAATACATTTACTGAGAAAAATGGTGACGCGTTCAACATCATTATATTGTAATAATATAATATCAGACTCATCAGGAGATATTGAGTATAAAGGGATTTTGGTTTAAACTGCTGTGTGATTTTAATCATTTTGATTCTTGTATGTAAATGTTACTGACCTCAATCTCTCCAGTTTACAGTGTGAATCCTTCAGTACGTCACATAAGTGTTTCACTCCTGTGTTTTTAATTTGATTCAAACTGAGGTTCAGCTCTCTCAGGTGTGATGGGTTTGATTTCAGAGCTGAAGTCAGGATGAGACTCTGTTTCTCTGTAAAACTGCAATCACACAGACTGAAGACAGAAAGAGAAACAACGATAGTTCAGATCTATAATGATCGCCTTATTGAAGAACTACAGCAGGCAATTAGTTTCCATACAAAATGTGACCAATAGGGCAAAACCAGTGCACTGTTATAAACAATATAATTTAAGACCTGTTGTCTTAAAAAAAAAACTTTAATTGTATTTACTCTAGTTTTTCTAGCTTGCATTGTGGGTTCATCAGAAGATCACTGAGGTTTTCCACTCCAGAGTCTCCTAGTTCATTCCAGCTCAGATCCAGCTTTCTCAGGTGTGATGGGTTTGATTTCAGAGCTGACGTCAGGATGAGACACTGTTTCGCTGTAATACTGCACCCAGACAGACTGAAGACAGAAAGAGAAAAGACAATTCAGATCTACAATGATCAACTAACTTATGTGTTTTGTACCATGCAGCAGACTTTTGCTGACAGATAAACAGGGATATCTGGGTGCAGGTAACATGGAGTAAGACTACACATTGTTCATTTAAATATACTACTGACAATACAAAGTTATGCAAAGGTTGAAAATTTAGCAAACTTACCCATTAAGATGTGATCTATATATCCAAGTTAGTTTACGCATTCATTCCACATATTCCACATATTCCATACACTTTTTGTTTTAGTTTTGAACTGCTCCTTCTCATCCTGCCAGACTATATTTGTTCTGCTACCTACCCTGGCTATCTCAGTCTCTGTTGAGACTAGGATACATCGCCCCAGCCCCTCTCTGCACGCTAAACGCTCTCATCGGGGAGCTCAGAGAGTCTTTGACACTGCGTCACGGATGACGCTAGGATCGATCCCTGCTGAGAGGCTCTATCCTGGTCCTGTGGACTTTGATTTGGACTTCCTCTATTTTGTGTTCCCGTTGTTTTTCCTATTGCTCAGTGAGAGCGTAATAAACTTTTCTGTTACCTTCAACTGAATCTGTGTTTTCCCTGACAGAACGGTCTGACCAGTCATGCATTCAGCAGGTGCAGACCAAGTCAGAGTCGCAGTAAGTCAACAAGGCATTCTTCTGGGACAGCATTGCAGTCAGTTAACTGCCACTTCAAGGGAGGTTGAGTGCCTGACAGCCCAAGTAGCAGATCTCAATGTCCGGATACAAGAGCTCCAGCAGGAAGCTTTGGCCAGCAGATCAAATGCTGCTTTTGGCCCTTCTCTGTCTCATGCTGAGCCTGAACCCCATGTTAATAGCCCGCCGCCATACGACGGGGATCCCAACTCCTGCCGGGCCTTTCTGTCCCAGTGCTCTCTTGTCTTTTCACTCCAGCCTCGCCGCTATTTTACAGAGGAGTCCCAAGTAGCATTTGTTATCACCCTCCTTAAAGGAAAGGCCCGGGACTGGGCAACGGCTGTGTGAGACGCTCGTGCTCCATTCTGTGCCACATTCATGGACTTCAGAGCTGAGATAATCAAGCTGTTTGACCGCTCTGCTCAGGGCGATGAGGCAGCCTCCCAGTTGGCGTGGTTGAGTCAGGGCAGACATTCAGTTACGGATTATTCTATCCAGTTCAGAACTCTGGCGGCCGCCTGTGACTGGAACGAGGCGGCTTTACGTGCAAGGTTTTCGGAGGGGTTGGATGACGACATCCAGGATGAGATCGTTACTCACGAGCTGCCTCATGATTTTGACACCCTTGTGGAGCTGGCACTCCATGTGGAGGGGCATCTTCATCGTTGACGCCAGCGGTGGACAGCTCAATCCTCCTGGATGTAGGAGGAGGGTGCCTCCAATGCTGCTTCCACCTCCTTGTCTCCTTCAACAGACCCAGAGCCCATGCAAGAGGGGCGTCTTTGCCTTACCCCTAAGGAGAAGCAGGATCGTTTGACTCGGGGCCTTTGCCTGTACTGCGGGAAGCCAGGCCATCAGGCTATCCAGTGTCCTTTAAAAGCCGGAGCCCATCAGTAATCCAGGGGATCCTGGTGGGCGCTACTCCTTATCTCGACTCCCCCATCTCACGTACCCTGCTAAAGGTCTCTGTTCAGTATAAGGACACCTTCCATTCCTGTTCTGCACTGGTCGACTCAGGCGCCGAAGGCAACTTCCTGGATGCCTCTGTTGCTGTGGGATATTCCTGCCATTCCACTTCCTTCTCCCGTCTCTGTCCGCTCCCTTAATGGTCTCCTCATCTCCTCCATCACCCATTCCACTCCTTCCGTAAGTCTTATTGTCTCTGGCAATCACCGTGAGGTGATTGAGCTGTACCTCCTAGATTCCCCGAGTGGTCCCGTTGTCCTAGGGCACCCGTGGCTGGTGCAGCACAACCCTCACGTGGATTGGTCTGGCAATTCTGTGTTCTCTTGGAGTCAGTCTTGTCTTGCGTCTTGTTTGGGTGCTGCCTTGTCTCCTGGCTCTGTGTCTTCTGTTTTTCAGGTTGAGGAGGTAGATCTTGCCGGGGTCCCGGAGGGGTACCGCGATCTTTGTTGGGTTTTCAGTAAGTCCCGGGCCACATCCTTACCTCCTCATCAGCCGTATGACTGTGCCATCAATCTCCTCCCAGGGACTTCTCCGCCCAAGGGTCATCTGTATTCCCTATCCGGTCCTGACAGAGAGGCCATGGACAAGAATATTCAGGAATCCTTAAATGCCTTCCTCTTCCTCACCTGCTGGTGCTGGGTTCTTCTTTGTTAAGAAGAAGGATGGCTCCCTGCGACCCTGCATTGACTAACGGGGCCTTAAGGACATCCCCATAAGAAACAGGTATCCTCTGCCTTTGATGTCGTCAGCCTTTGAGTTGCTACAGGGAGCCAGGGTCTTTACCAAGCTAGACCTCTGTAATGCCTACCATTTGAACCGTATACATTAGGGGGATGAGTGGAAGACAGCATTCAACACCCCAACGGGACACTTTGAATACCGGGTCCTACCCTTTGGGCTCACTAACGCCCCAGCTGTCTTCCAGGCCCTGGTGAACGATGTGTTGAGAGACATTGTGAACAGATTTGTCTTTCTGTACCTTGATGATTTTCTCATCTTCTCTCCCTCTTTGCAGGTTCACACTCAACATGTCCGTCAGGTGCTACAATGGCTGCTGGGGAACCAGCTGTACATCAAGGCGGAGAAGTGCGTTTTCCATGCCAAGTCTGTTTCGTTCTTGGAGCATATAATCTCAACGGAGGGGATCAAAGCCGATCCAGCTAAGGTAAGGGCCGCAGCTGAGTGGCCAACCCCTCGCGGAAGGCGTTGCAGCGGTTCGCCAACTTCAATAGGCGATTCATCCGGAACTTTAGCCTGGTTGCTGCACCCTTAACAGCACTCACCTCACCTAAGGTACCGTTCAGATGGAATGTACAGGCTCAGGAGGCCTTTGATGTTCTTAAGTCCCGTTTCATCTCTGCTCCTGTTCTTTGTCTCCCAGATCCTGAATGGCAATTCATTGTTGAGGTGGATGCTTCTGATGTCGGGGTAGGCACGGTCCTGTCCCAGCGGTTCCCCAAAGATGAGAAGGTGCTCCCTTGTGCCTTTTCTCACCGTCTGAGCCCTGCTGAGCGGAATTATGACATAGGTAACAGGGAGCTGCATCTACGGTTATGTCTCCTTTTCAATGTTCTGTAGGTTATCAACCGCCTCTTTTCCCTGCACAGGAACCCGAAGCCACGGTCCCGTCTGCCTTGGCCTTTGTCCGTAGGTGTCGGCGCACCTGGAGGAGGGCTGAGGAGGCCTTGGCCCAGGCTTCCAGACGGACCAAAATGGTGGCTGACCGTCACCGGACTCCGGCTCCCCAGTATGTTTGCGGTCAAAGGTATGGCTTTCTACCAAGGACCTGCCTCTCCGGGTGCCTTCTCGTAAGCTGGCACCCAGGTTTATTGGGCCATATCGCATCACCAAGGTCCTGAGTCCGGTGGCAGTGCAGCTCAAGCTTTCTCCCACTCTTGGTCAGGTTCACCCTGTTTTTCATGTGTCCTCCCCCCCGTCTAGTGGATGGTACTCCAGTTTACACTGTGAGAAAGCTTTTGGACGTTAGACGCCGTGGTCTGGGTTTCTAGTATCTGGTGGACTGGGAGGGCAACGGTCCTGAGGAGAGGCGTTGGATTCCATCTCGAGATATTTTGGACCAGACTCTGATTGAGGACTTCCACTGGCAACGAGGTGAGCCCCTCCCGGTTGCGCCTGGTGGCGCTCCTGCGGGAGGGGGTACTGTCATGACTTCGGTCTGATCTGCTGTGTTTTGTCTTTCTCAGGGTCTGTGTGCCTTGTCTCTGAGCACATGGGTTTTGTTTTGACAGCTCACCACGTGCTGCGCTGTCAGTGTGGCGTTTTCCCCTTCCACTCGTTATCCATAATTCTCTTTTGTGTTTTCTATCACACCTGTTGCCATTCATTCCTCATTAGCTCTCCCCTATTTTAGATCCTCTCGTGCTCAGTCTTTTGTCAAGTCAAGTCAAGTCAAGTTTATTTGTACAGCGCTTTTCACGATACAAATCATTGCAAAGCAACTTTACAGCAAATTAAGTTTCTACAATATTTAGTAGTAGCTTATCAGTGGTGACTGTCAGTTAATGTACATATGGCAGAAATGTACGTAAAAATCAAATAAAGGCGTAATCAAACAGACGATGAACACTACTAACAGCAATTATTATATAATGCAATCAAACTTATAGCAAAATGTGGTAGTTCTGTAAGTTGTTTCAGGGTTGGCATCATCTGAGGTCCTCTGAGTGGTTGGCATCATCTCTTCTCAGGTGTCTCTTTGTCAGACCATTGTTGTATGTTGTGCAACGCTTCGCTTGTGACCATCTTGTCATGTTTGCTTTGTCTTGCTGTACTGTGTCTGTTTAGGCTCCAAGTGCTGTTTTGCTTTTTGTTTTAGTTTTGAACTGCTCCTTCTCATCCTGCCAGACTATATTTGTTCTGCTACCTGCCCTGGCTATCTCAGTCTCTGTTGACTGTTGAGAGAGACTGACTCGGATACATCCCCCCAGCCCCTCTCTGCAGGCTAAACACTCTCATCGGGGAGCTCAGTGAGTCTTCGACACTGCGTCACGAACGACGCTCTGGTCAGTGTAACTTCGATCCTAACGACATCCGTGATGCAGCGTCAATCCCTGCTGAGAGGCTCTATCCTGGTCCTGTGGACTTTGATTTGGACTTCCTCTATTTTCTGTTCCCGTTGTTTTTCCTATTGCTCAGTGAGAGCGTAATAAACTTTTCTGTTACCTGCAACTGAATCTGTGTTTTCCCTGACAGTTAACATTAGTTAACATGAACTAATGATGAACAGCTAGTACAGCATTTAATAACCTTAAAGTAAGTTTCAACATTTACTAATACATTTTTAAATTCAAAAGTTTTGTTAACAATAGTTAATCCATTAATATTAACAGATTAATAAAGGCTGTCAAACTATATTGTTCATTCTTAGTTCATGTTGGCTAATGTTAACAGATTAAATTGTTACTGTCTACTCACTATTGACATAAATCACTTGTCTCACAGATCAATGTTCAAACATACTGTAAACTAAACAATCAGTCAACAACAAAGATAGTTTGCTTTTTAAAAGATTTTTCTTTGCACGTTTTCATTTAAAGAATAAAAATATTTTCTTGAGCTGGAGGACATTCAAACAAGTTTTGGAAAAGGCAGTTCATTTGCTTTAGTGCTGCACTGACAAGGAAACTGATCACTGATTCTTAAAACGCCCTTGTTGAATTTTTACAAGTTACAGTATATGCTGGACCAAAATAAGACATTTTACATTTTGTGAAACACAAACATTAAATTAAAACCAGTTATGAACAGTTATGTTGTCACAAAAATCACTTAAATTTACACAGAATTAACCTGGGAAAGTGCAGTTTTTTTCCTTTTCTTTTAAATCAGTGTAGAATTTCTGTGCGTGGAACTATTAATCCTTCTTTCACAATCTACTAAATATGGACTACTTCATTATAAAGAAAAATAAAATACAAATAAATATGAAAAAAATATATGTATATTCATAATCTTTGACAAAAATGTATAATAAACTAGGTTAGTGGATAATTCAGTGGCAAAAGTTATTCTAGAAAAATCAGTGTTATTATTAATAATTTTATAAATCCAAAACATTTAGTGAAAAAAAAAACATTATTTATTGGGGAACAGATAAAAGTGTAGCACTAAATCTGGTAAAATGTTACACATTTGTATTGCTATAAAATCCATTTATGAAAAATAATATATTTATATATAAATATAGAATACAAAATTAAAATGCATTTTTTGTAATGAGGCAACAACATACGATTGATAGGACAAAACAAATACAGGGCGACACAAAGCGTTTACAGTATCCGGTGCACAGAACGATGTGCTTGAAGCAACACGGAGTCACAGCATGCAGCGCTTCGCATTAAAAAGTTCAAAGCACAAAGGGAAGAGATATTGATGTGTAGTGTATTATATCTGTGCAACAGTTTATTGAGCCTTTTCTTTTAACAGTTATAACAGACACCCAGTAGCAAGTAACATGATTTAGAAACAACAAAAAACCTCAGCAAGATAAAAAGTAATTTTTTATGCAAAATCATTGACATTTATCTGCAAATCAAGTATAACAATGGGAACACTGAGAATGATCTTGAAGAGAGTTTTACCGAGCTGACTGTCGTAACCAAACATGACCAGGGTTTAAATTGAACAGAGAATGACTGAAAGCCGGAGAAAATAGTTTACATGAACATTAATGTAAGGACTTAAATATTTATCTGTACCTCACATTAAGCTATCATATGGCTTCAAAAGACTTGAAATATAGTGCACAAACTTTATTTTACTTTAAAACGCTTTTATATCTTTTGCGTGGCTTAACAGTAACAGAACAGTTATAAAATAGTGGATTTGGATCAGCCCTGTCTGACCAATACCCGATCTGACAAAGAATGACAGTATCGAAGCCAATAACCGATATGAGTATTGGATTAGCACATTCCTAGTTTAAAGCTTGATGTAACTTTTTAATTGCTTGTATAATTTTGATACTTTATAGTGTCTCTTTGTGATGCTGAGAAAAAAAAACTACTCTGACTCAAACAAATGAGGAAATATTATCAACTACTGTAAAATTACTATAAAAAGCAATGTAACATTTTAAATAAACTGAGGTAACACTCTGTTAAACTTGTTACATGTACTTACAATTATAATAACAATTAATTATGCATAATTACATGCAAGTAACCCTAAGACAAACCCTAATCCTAACCCTAACATTAGTACATTTGTACATAATATACATAAGTAAATTTTGTTAATTAATATTACTCGGTAATTAAATGTATAGTTACAATGTAACAAGGACACCTTAAAATAAAGTGTAACCTAAACTAACAATACTCACTTCAGTGTGTTGATTTCACAGTGTTTATCCTGCAGTAGAGCAGCGATCTGATTCACTCGTTTGTCTCCGAGTTCACGTTCACTCAGATTCAGCTCTCTCAGGAGTAACGGGTTTTTACCCACAATTCCAGTCACATACTGAAAGGCTTCATTTGCAGCAGGACCCAAAAACCTGGAGAAGAGAAGATGAAGCAGGGTACAATTCAGTTCTGAACTAAAGGTCCATTGCATTACAAAAACGACTGACAAGATAAAAAAACCAAAACAAAAACCTGTTATTATTCAAAAAAAAAAAAAGCTCTAATTGTTGTAATATACAACTATTTGAAAAACAAAGATAGTGATCACAGTCTTTTTTAAAAGAAACTACAGCAACACTCAGTCCTAAAGCTCAGGAGAACAGAAAAGTCCCATAGAACAGAACAGCAAAAGCTCACTAGATCATGATTTTCATGAGTCCAAAATGCAGCGGCTAGAGTCCTTACCAGGTCAAGAAAATATGATCATATTACCCCAATTTTACAGTCTCTGCATTGGCTACCTATTAAGTTCCATCGTATCAGTTACAAAATATTATTACTTGCCTATAAGGCCCTTAATGGGTTAGCTCCTGCGTACCTAACTAGGTGTAGCATCTGGACCAATCAGACACCATTTTTCATTTGATTTAACAAATCAATTATTCATTAGATTAACAAATTATCACAGACCCCTCACCCAATAAACATGCTGGGTGCCAGGATGTCTGCGAACGACCACAGGCCACTGGTTACCATGGCAACCATGACACCTTTGCTAGACCAGATAAATTTTATGACCTAATGGCATGTTGAGAGTTCTCCCTCTCACTACATTTTCCATAGGAAAGATACAATGCACAGTAAAAATGCACTCTTCTCTAATTAATTCATAGGAAAACCTTTCTGTGAATGAACACACATCTCCTCAGGACATTGTGTATACTATTACTGTTTGTGTATAATGTCTTTTGAATTGTATACAGTTTTATGCATGCTTATGATAGAACCACTCATTCATGTAATCTAAGAATCTTTACTAGTTTGTGCATCAACACCCAATCGAATTATATATGCGAAATACCATGCTTGGAGACAAAGAGTCATAAACCTCCCCAGTATTTCCAACCTCCCGCTTGGAATTTCAGCCTTTCTCCTTGGACATGCTCATCCTGAGAGGCATGAATTTTGTCAGACCTTAAAGGCCTCACATCAGTGACCTGCCTTCAGTCTGCGGCGTGGAAGCCACCTGCGCCCCTACTTTTTGGCGTAGGCCAGGGCTTACCACAAGAGGACCAGCTACTGCTGCTATGGCACTACCCAATCAGTAGGAATGGATAACACTGGGAAAACATACCCGTTCCGTTGCGGAAGTTCCATCGTTCCCGAAGGAGGTTTCGGAAGCAAATACACATATGAACATCCGTTTAGGTGCATATGGAAGATTGGAGGTGATTGAAACCCTCATAGAATGGCAGAAGTCTGCCGGGGAAACACGGGCACTCAGGCTATACCGTGGACTTTACACATATGTGATCCCCTTAGGTCTTACATATGGAACCCAGCCTTGTACCGGTTCTCAAGGATTCAACGAGTGAAGGCCTGGCGCTGGACGCTCCACCACGTCTGGCTGATGAGGGGACGGAGGAGCTCAACAGGGTCTACTATATGGATTCTCTGGAGTGGTTGCCACACCCACCCCGGGACTCGGCCATTGAGCCAGTGCTGCAGCGGTCTCATATGAAGCAGCCCCAGCGGCGTGACTGCCGCCGTAGCTGCCATATGCCCCAGGAGCCTCTGAAATTGTTTTACTGGGACTGCCATTCTGCTCTTGAATGTATTCAAGCAGTTCAAAACCGACTGAGCACGTTCCTGCGTGAGGCGTGCTGTCTGTTCGACCGAGTCCAACTCCATACCAAGAAAAGAGATCCTCTGCGTCGGGGAGAGTTTGCTCTTTTCCCAGTTGACCCGAAGGCCCAACAAGCTAAGGTGTGAGAGCACCAAATCCCTGTGTTAGCACAACTGCTCCTGAGACTGAGCGAGTATGAGCCAGTCGTCAAGGTAGTTGAGAATGCGAATGCCCTGTTCTCTCAGAGGAACAAGCGGTGCCTCCGCAACTTACATTAAGACACAGGGCGACAGGGAGAGCCCGGAGGGCAGGACGTCATACTGATATGCTCGTCCTTCGGCCGCGAACCGCAGCAATGGTCTGTGTTGTGGAAGGGTCGACACATGAAATATGCGTCCTTCAGGTTGGCTGCTGCAAACCAATCTTGGGGACGGATGCACCTGAACATGCGTTCCTGCATTCAACATCTTGAACGGTAACTGGTGAAGGGCCCGGTTCAAGACACGCAGGTCCAAGATTGGTCGTAACCCCCCGCCTTTCTTGGGTACAATGAAGTAGGAGCTGTAAAACCCCGACTTCATATCGGATGGAGGGACCGGCTCTATCGCATCCTTCAGCAGTAGGACTGCGACCTCCGCCCGCAAGACAGGACCATCGGCCACCTTCACTGTTGTGAAGTGGATGCCACTGAACTTGGGGGGACGCCGGGCGAACTGAATCGCATAGCCGAGGCTGATGGTCCGCAGAAGCCAGCGAGACGGGCTGGGTAGCTCTAGCCAGGCACCCAGATACCGTGCAAGCGGGACCAACGGAACCACTGCCGTACCCGCAGTGGGGCAGCGAGGTGGAATGCAGGGACCCAACTCGGGTGGCTTGTAAGCGGACCGAAGAAGGGTCTGAGTGTGCGATGCAATGCTTACCTGGTTCCACAGGTTAGCAGAGGGTGCGTGAGTAAGGCCTTCGTTGAGGCCTAGGGCGCTGCGGCCGGCTGACGGGTGGAGGCAGCAGCTGCCCGCCGGGGCAGGGTGTGCACCTCCGTCTGCTTCTGTGCAGCCAAGAGCTGCTGGGCCAGGCTCTCGACCACATCGCCGAAGAGGCCGGTCTGGGACACAGGGGCATTAAGGAACCGAACTTTGTCGGCGTCCCTCATATCGACCAGACACAGCCCGCTTTGGCCCTCCTGGACCACCATCGTGGACATCGCACAGCCCAGAGACCGCACAGTGACCTTCGTCGCTCGTGGCGCGAGGTCCATAGCGGTACGGAGTTCTTTGAGAACTTCTGGGTCATGACCACCCTCGTGCAGGTCCCTCAGTGCCTTAGCCTGAAGAACCTGCAGTAACGCCATAGCATGTAAGGCGGAGGCAGCTTCTCCACAGCCTGTAAGCATCGCTGGCCAGTCGAGTACTTACAGACCCGGGAGGGGAGGCACAGTTCGCCTTGCCGGGTGGAGGCGCACTTATATCTGATCAAATGCACATTATTATTCCTTAGTTTGGGTTAAACAAATCAATTTTGCTTGGTTGGAACAGCAGCTACGTTAATTATGTCTCTACTTTTTTCTCTGTTTTTGCCACAGGATTGACATCCTGTGGTAACTAGGATTTACACAAGCTTCAGTCTGGATCCAGAACACCTGAGAAGAGATGATGCCAACCCTGAAACAACATACAGAACTACCACATTTTGCTATAAGTTTGATTGCATCATATAATAATTGCTGTTAATAGTGTTCATTGTCTGTTTGATTATGTCTTTAATTGATTTTTCCGTACATGTCTGCCACATGTACATTAACTGACAGTCACCACTGATAAGCTACCACTAAATATTGTAGAAACTTAATTTGCTGTAAAGTTGCTTTGCAACGATTTGTATTGTGAAAAGCGCTATACAAATAAACTTGAATTAAATTGAATGATTTTCGGTATGAATAAAGAGTATGACATTAAAAGCCTCAAGATCTTTCTGGCTTTTAAGCAGGAGTAGTGAGAAACATCAGCACAGAGAAAACAGGCTTGTGAAACTGAATGTTTGTGATCATCTGGAGACTCACAGACCTGCTGTAGAGATTCAGTGACGGAGTGAATCTGAGCTTGATGGAAATTAAACTTCAGTGTGTTCAGAAACATTCAAACGAGTTGAGTAAAATGTTAATTATCAAGCTATACCATATTCCAGAATAGCAGCACAACTAAACTGTGTTGACTGTCATCATCAGTACAACAGAACCTGCAGCATCTGATCTGATCATTTTGATCCAGATAATTGTAAAATAATATCTAAAATAAATGTAGCCTGCACATAATATATTTATTTTGAATTATTTCATCACGTCTCACCTCAGTGTCTTCAGTTGACAGTTTGGATCCTGTAGTAAATCATTGAGCTGCTTCACTCCTGATTGTCCAGGATCATTTCCTGTGAGATCCAACTTTGTCAGGTGTGAAGGGTTTGATCTCAGAGCTGAAGCCAGAGCTTTATAGCCTTTTTCAGTGATACCACAGTTTGAAAGCCTAAAACCAGAATGAAAAAGTAACATTCAGCTGATTCATTTGTCTAGAAATTGCCTAAACAATATAATACCGAAACTGAATTATATTTTGTTCCTTATACAAATGAACTAATACTTAGTTGTAAAGCAAAAACTGACAACTGAATATGGAATTAAAAACCGCCTGGGGTCAGCAAAAGTGCCGGCGGGAGCACTTGCATATTTTCCAGATGACAGAGAAAATAACTTAAAATGCTCTGTCACCTTTCATTGGACCCATAAAAGTAATACATGACTTGAATCTGTAAAGGGTCAACTTTTATTTGTGTATGCTCACCATATCAACAAAACTTTGTGCTTTTGTAAAATAAAGAAAACAAACAGGGTGCACTCTCAGTCTTCACTGTCCCTGCGAACTATATATGGCATGCCTACTCTTAAATAAAGTAACTCTTACCGAAAACAAATATTCTGTGATAAAGTAATACATATGAAACCAACGAGAGGTCCAGTTTTTCCTGCCTGTTCTCATTATCTCTAATTAGATCACGCCCGCCATCTCCAATGGTTCCAGATGTGTCTCCTTAGTCCTGTTGCTTTAAAGTCTGAGTCCCTGTGTTCAGTGTTTGTCCGGTATTGTGAATGTCAACTTCCTTGTGCTACGTGTGATTCCCCGCGATGTAAATAAACTCCTTGGTTTGTACTCCTGGTTTCCTCGTTCCATGCTCCTCACAGTAGCAACCCGTGACAGAATACCGGACCCAAAACAGAAAGTGAGCGGCGACTTTTTCCTCGCGTTTGTTTTTTCCGCCTTTTAGAAAAGTTTTAGTTTTCCTTGTTTTCCCCGCGGCTATGGAAATTGCCGCTCGCTTCTCTGCCCTAGCTCGCCTCAATCTCCCCTTTGTCGAGTATTCCTGGGAGTTATTCCAGCTCGCCGCGGCTACGGCCCTCGATGACGCTACCATCAACTCGCTGTTCTGGCACGGGGCCAACTACCATCGCCCCGTGGACCTCCCAGACACCACAGGAATGAGCTGGAGGCAAGGAATCCTCCGGTGTCTGGAGAGCGTCCTGCCCCGAGCCAGAACCAGCCCGCCGGCTGCGGCGAGGTCAAGCCCGCCGCCATCCACGGCTCCCCCAAGTCAGCCAGCAGTTCCCGAGTCAAGCCAGCGAGCAGTTAATGTGGCAAGCCCAAAGGACGTTAATGTGGCAAGCCCAAAGGACATTAATGTGGCAAGCCCAACAAGTGTGCATGTGGGCCCAGTGTCGGTTCCAGCCCCAGTGCCCGCTCCTCGTAAGCGCCTTCCAGAGCACCCCCCAGTGCCAGCTCCTCGTAAGCACCTTCCAGAGCGCCCCCCCAGTGCCCGCTCATCGTAAGCACCTTCCAGAGCGCCCTCAAGTGTCGGCTCCTGCTCCAGAGCTCGC